ATTCTTTATTAATTGTTGATGGCTTATCATGCACTTTAAAGAATTTTTAAAAAATGGAATGAATGTTAAATTGATTGATTGTTATTGAAATGATTATAATATTTATATTATGTATGTGTGTGTACCTGCTACCCTAGAAAGATAATATGAAACAGAAGAAATTAAGATGATAATGCCAAGCCCAATTGTAACTTTACTGCCATGACCTGCCTTCAGAAATGGTTCTCTAGGTCCATGAGAGCCAAATGCAATGTAATAGGCTAAAAATAAATTAATTGATTAATGAAAAAAACATATAAACATATATTATATTTATAAATAAATAAATAAATTTATTTATTTATTTACTTACAAGCTTTCTTTTCTTCAAGGGAAAGTTTCTTCCAATCTTGTTTTTGAAGTTCTTCAAGTTGCTTTGTAAGATTAACTTGTTCTTCCACTGGTAAAGTTTTCCAATTTGTTTCAATGTTGGTAAGAGCAATTGGTGCTGAAGTCGTTGATGCTTTTCTAAATTGCGGTTTAAAAGTTTGGTTGAAATTACTTTTCTGTTGGGTGCGTTCGGGTAGGGAAGTTCTAAACTTGTTAAATGCTCCACGAAACATTTTTTTATTTTTTTTTTTGCAAAAAATTTCTAAAAGGCAAAAAAAAAAAAAATTTTTTTTTTATTGATGATGATGATCAATGTTAGTGGTACAGTGACATGTGATTTGGAGAACTGTGCTGAAGCACATCTGTAACAATTGGTTCTATGTACTGACTTCTAAAATATCCATTCATAAAGTTGTATTTATTTATATAGTGTGCAAAGTCTATAACCACCATTTACTGCACCATACCACCAAATCTCACCAAAAACCCAACCAAAAATTTGAAAAATTATCAAAAAAAGTGATTTATTATCAATTTTAATCATCAACAACATTGGTTGGGAAATTTTCTATGAGATTTGTATCTCTTTTACTGCATATAAAGCTTCTATACCTGTCAATCCATTTCTATAAGCATCCATAAATCTCCAAGACCTGTGAACAAACTTCCGAATTTTTTTGAGAGAAACAGAATTTAATGCCAATGGAACAGTTTTTTCTAATGACTTAAAGGTATAATCACAGTTTTCACAGGTATATTATTTTGCTGCACCCAAATAATTCAATAAAATTAAGTTCACAGTGGAACTTGGGTAAAAAAATGACTTTATGACCATAGGATTCAATAATTTCTTCAATTAAAGATTTTAAGTCAAGTTGAAGTAAAATATTTTGCAGTGATTTTTTACAGCTACACAATACCAAATTTAGAAATGATAATTGTAGATTATCCTAATGTGTTACTGCCAAATCATCTTGAACATATATAGTAAAATAAGCATAGATAAAAATCCTATGATTGGTCAAATCTGTGTTATGCACATTAATAGATATTTCAAAAAAGATCGACAATTTATATTGTAAAATTGAAAAAGTGCCACTTAGAAAGGTGGCACTGCCCACATTAAATAACACCACTTCAAATTTTTGTATAAGCATTCTATTATTATCATTTATTTCTGATCCCTTAATAACTTTTCCTGATCCCTGCTGGGTTTTGAATAAGGTTTACTCTAAATTTCATTTTATTACACTCGTAACATACAAATTAATCAATGATCTACATTTCAAACTCGCGTTTATTAATTAATAACATTAATGTTCTTATATACATTGTATTTAATAAAATGAATAAAGGTTATATATGAAAAAATTTTGGCCCCTGCGTGGTATGTGGTAATCAAGATCCTAACATTAAATATTGAAGGATTACCACACAAACAATCTTAAAGATTAATAAAAGTCCTAATATTGAAAATTTAAATGTAAAACCCAAGTTGGTGACCAATTGTGTCAAAAACATTACAATGAAATGATTTTATATGAATGTAGTAAATCCAAAATGGTTCAAAAACAAAAAATCAATAATGATAAAAGTTATCATCAAGGTGGAAAGTGTCCAAAATGTATTTATATGGAAAAATATGAATTTTTGGATGATTTAAATATCTTCACCTTCATTTGTATATTCCAATCTATCTATTATTTGTTTTAAAGAATTGCTACGTATGTTTTACAACTCCCTATTGATCTGCGTGACATGTCCTGTGACTGGTAACTTCGTAAATCATTTCCGACTTATATATCAGTTTCCCGTGATTTATAATTTACTATTTTACACTATTATTATTATTATTATTATTATAACTAGGGTGATAATGAGTGGCGACCACCACCACCACTCATGATAAACACTTACTCATTTTCCTCAGCAATTGCGTTTGATTGATTTCTTTTTCTTTTTGTTTTAGAATTGGTAGACATTTTTACAAAAAAAAAAGTTTGTGATTTGATCAA